TTACCTAACAAAATATAACTTTATTGTATAGTAATTAAGTGTAATCCATAGTCATTCATAAAATATGTACATTCGATATAAATTCATAAGTATTCAGAGTTTAAATTATAAGAATTAAATGAAATAACTAATAAGGATAATTTATTTCAACAAATATATATTTTTCCTTAAAGATATTCTTTTCTTTTTTTTTCCGTTTATTAGATTTAATTGTAAATTGTCTCAACTACTAAAATTGATATATTCCATCCTATAGGAGTTATATTTTTTTCACCTATTATGCAAAGATTATCTTACAGTGCGATAAACTCATACTCATGTCATTGTTTTTGCAATTTCCACGCATTCCATCTCTGTAGGTATATAATATTGATGAATATATTTTAAAACTAAAATTTATAACATTTTAAAATTATCAGTGATCTCATTGTCATAATCATAATTGTAAATATATAAATAATTTATAAAAAAATCTAATGCTTCTAAGACCTGATCTCTATACGTGTATGCATCATAATTAAAATAATTTATTATTTTAGCAGAATAATATATTATATTGAATTAATACGTACATTTATGGATCATTATTAGAAAAAAATATATAGTTATTAATAATACAAAGTAAAATTTATAATAAATATGCTTTTTTACAGAATTCACAAAGGAATAAAAGAAATAAATAAGAAATTCATACATAGTCCCAGAGACATTACATTATAGTGACATGTTAGAATTTACTATATATAATTATGATAACATTCGTCTTTTGTATAAACTACGTAAGTGTATGACATGATTTAATAAAAAAATACGCCAAAATACTGTTATGTGTCAACAAATGAGCTTATCATTTAAAATGTATTTATATACATTTAATTATACAATAATTATAAAGGATTTTTAATAAATCTATATTATTGAACACAGTTATTACTATTTATAAACTTGAATTTATTTGTAAAATATTATAATTACTTTAATTATGAAGTAATAACTTCAGTTATCTATAAAAAAAAATTATTCGTAAATATTTAATTAAAATATACAATTTTTCTAACAAAAAAAAAGTTATAAACAGTTTTGTCAATTGAAATAATATTCAATTAAAATAACATAAAAAAAAAAAAAAAATTATATATCTTACAATAATCAAATTATTATAGTAATATGTAAGTAAAAAATTTTTATAATTTATTTCTTGTTACGCATTAGAATATTATTATTAATATCATCATATATATATAGCATTTCTCGTATATAACATGAAAATGGAGAAAAGCTTAATGAATTCAAAGAATTTTTTTGTGTGTGAATTCTATTAAATTTGTAGAGTAAACAAATATAGAGATACATCCTGTAAGAAAGAATATAAATATACCTTATTAATGTAAATTATATAAATATATTTAAAACAATCATATTCTGTATAAAATAAAAAAGACAAAAATTTTTAATTTAATTTATATGTGTTCATGACACTTAATTTCATAAGAATTATGTATACAGAATACATATTGTAACTTTAATATACATTATAATATAACATGTATTATTAAGTATTCCAAATAATTAATTTTATATTCATGTTACAAATATCATAGAATACTTAAAATATATATATTTACATAATACATCAGATATACAAATATGCATCCATATTTCATAGATAACAATGTAAAAGAAATTACGTGTCATAAAATGTTGTAAAAATAGACAACACTATAAGGATTATTCCATAATCTTAGATAGAACAATATATATTCTTATAAATGTTATTAGAATTGTTTCAATATATTAGTAAATACATACCTAAATATATGATTGTTCTATTCTGTTTGTATATCACTTTTTTAACATTCGATAACAATGGTACATGAACTAGCAGTACGTATTTTGTGTAATGTAAATTATTATTTATGTTAAAATACCATATTTTTTCTTAAATTAATTATTGTATTTTTCTTATAAATAAAAAATATATATATTGTTATTTGTTTTATATTCATAGGCTAATGTACCTAAAAATTTACCTACAAAAGAGATGTACGCTATATTCGATAATGCAGATGATAGTTGTGAGAGTAATATTATTAAAGAATATGGATCGAAACTTATAGACACGCAGAAATGGATTACGAATACTCCTGAAAAAATAGTTAATGCCTTATGCCATATATATGATTTAAATACGAAAGGGAAAATTAATAGTTCTTATTGTGATTACCTGTACTTTTGGTTAGGAGATATAATATATAAAAATATAAAATACAATATAAATTTTACACCTGTTATAGATGTTATTAAGTTCATACTACAAAGTAATGGAGGCATGTGTACATATAATTATGATAAATATAATATCGATCGAGAAGAATTTATGGACATTAAGCAACTTTTTGATTATTCAAAAGATTATAATGAGCTTAAACAAGTTATAACTAATGGTTCATGTAGTGCTGATTATACGAAACTTCTTAATAAATATGCCTTTATATATAGCAAATTCGAATTAAAGTGCAGTAAAGATCATGCAGAGACTAAGCATTGTGAATATATTAAGAAGCTTTTTGAGGGCAAGAATCCAAAGAAATTGTCATGTAATTCACGAAAAAATAATGATAAATCTCCAAATCAACAAGAACATCATAGTGGATTGCCAGAATCAAGAGAAAAAACAGTGGAACACAGAACAATAGATCAAGAAGAAGAATTTCGTAGCAGTGGGGTACATCCAGGTCAACAAGTACATATTTTATTAAGAAATACAAATGAACAAGATTTAATCCATGATAATTATAAATTTAATTCTTTGGTTATTAAAGGTCCCATGCAGAGTGCCATTTTTGATTTTTCAGCTTCTTCATCCTCAAAAAATATGGTAATGCCTCCTTTAGTTATAGGAATTACAGTTCTTTCTGTTATACTGTGCAAAGTAATCGTCTATATGAATAAAAAAGAAATATGTATTACATTATATTAAATAAAAATTATAAATTTTTAAGTCTAATAATATTATGCATAAAATATGTTTTATAAATATCATACTTTTATTAGTTTACTCCAGTCGGGTATTGGTTAAAAAAAGTCTTAGTAGGAAAATCTAAAAGAAAACGTAATATTATAATGGATGGTAATATAACAGAAGATTATTCGATGTATGAAAATTTAGAATCACCGAGAAGATTTAAATTAACATACAGTAATATATAATTCTACTGTAAGGGACACACAAAGGAACATTTTTTATATATACATTTGAATTATCATAAGTATTGCTATACGAACCTAGAAATCTATCAAAAAGCAAAGAATATATTTTTTTTTTGTATAATACACTAATAAATTATAAATATATATAGGATTTATAGTTTAGAGTTTAGGGTTGAGGGTTCCGTTTTAGGGTTTTTTGTTTTAATTTTTAATATTATATATACGCATTTAAGATTATATATTTATTTTTATTTATAGGATTTTATTATATATATAATATTTTATTATTTTGCTTAGCATATTGGATTTATAATATCTGTTAAATATATTTTAATTACACCAAATAATATATATATATTTTTTATTATATTTTTATTATAATGTTATGTATACCTACATGTGTTTTGAAATTATATTAAGATTTATATATCTTATATTATTTATG